GCGGTACGGCATTGCTACACAGTAGCATCAACCCCTTGCCTTGTGGCAGCAGACGGTGCAATATGACTGGTCGCCGTCATCGTCATGTCCGAGGTGCTCCTGGCCACGTCGGCCAGGAGCACCTGGGCAGACATGGGCGCAGGGACTAAATCTGGAGTGACTTGACCAGGTCATTCTCTTTAGTCCTGCAGTCAGTCCTATTGAACCGTCTTATGGTGAGCAGGCAGGCGATACGGATTGCTAGCAGTCCTATTGCATCATCTTCTGCCGGGCAGCCATGAGATGTGGATGGCATGCAGTCCTTCTGCACCGTCTGCTGCCAGCCAAAGATGTAAAAGATTTGCTCCCTCCCCCCGGCCCGTCTAGGGGACTCATTCCTCTAGGTCACACTGCAAGGTAGATGCAGCAAGGTAAATCTAGCCATGTATCAATCAGAGGCCAGACTAACCTCCTTGTTCCAATAAGAACAATAACTTAGGTGCACCATTTCTTATTGGAACCCTCCGTGAAGTCCTGCCTGAAATACTCCTTGATGTAAAGCCACCCCCTTTGTTGATTTTAGCTCCTTGTAAGCCAACTCTGTAAGCCGTGTCATCAGTCGCCCCTCCCTCAGTCAGAGCAACGGCAGACAATCGTTCTGCGCCTTTTTTCTGTGCGGACGCCATACCAAGGCAAGCATGGAGGCCGCTCAGCTCACTTTGGCAATTAGGAGCACATTAAACACCACACGCATTACCCAGCAGTATATGCAGCGCCAGAACCTGGCAGAGCGATACCGGGCGAGGAGGCGACGTCAGCGCGGTCACATGAGTGATCAGGACATGGACACAGATTTCTCTGAAAGCATGGGCCCTGCCAATGCATGCATCATGGTGCTAATGGGGCAGGTTCATGCTGTGGAACGCCGATTCTGGGCTCGGGAAACAAGCACAGACTGGTGGGACCGCATAGTGTTGCAGGTCTGGGACGATTCCCAGTGGCTGCGAAACTTTCGCATGCGTAAGGGAACTTTCATGGAACTTTGTGACTTGCTTTCCCCTGCCCTGAAGCGCATGAATATCAAGATGAGAGCAGCCCTCACAGTTGAGAAGCGAGTGGCGATAGCCCTGTGGAAGCTTGCAACGCCAGACAGCTACCGGTCAGTTGGGAATCAATTTGGAGTGGGCAAATCTACTGTGGGGGCTGCTGTGATGCAAGTAGCCCACGCAATCAAAGATCTGCTGATATCAAGGGTAGTGACCCTGGGAAATGTGCAGGTCATAGTGGATGGCTTTGCTGCAATGGGATTCCCTAACTGTGGTGGGGCCATAGACGGAACCCATATCCCTATCTTGGCACCGGAGCACCAAGCCGGCGAGTACATAAATCGCAAGGGGTACTTTTCGATAGTGCTGCAAGCTCTGGTGGATCACAAAGGACATTTCACCAACATCAACGTGGGATGGCCGGGAAAGGTACATGACGCTCGCATCTTCAGGAACTCTGGTCTGTTTCAAAAGCTGCAGGGAGGGACTTTATTATTTATATGAGAATGAGGGGCAATCAACAGGTTATCTCAAGTGCTTATATACAAATGCACAAAGCCTTGGAAACAAGCAGGGAGAACTGGAGATCCTGGTGATGTCAAGGGACTATGACGTGATTGGAATAACAGAGACTTGGTGGGATAACTCACATGACTGGAGTACTGTCATGCATGGTTATAAACTGTTCAGGAAGGACAGGCAGGGCAGAAAAGGTGGGGGAGTAGCACTGTATGTAAGGGAGCAGTATGACTGCTCAGAGCTCCGGTACGAAACTGTAGAAAAACCTGAGTGTCTCTGGATTAAGTTTAGAAGTGTGTGCAACAAGAGTGATGTAGTGGTGGGAGTCTGCTATAGACCACCGGACCAGGGGGATGAGGTAGATGAGGCTTTCTTCCGGCAGCTCGCGGAAGCTACTAGATCGCATGCCCTGATTCTCATGGGTGACTTTAATTTTCCTGATATCTGCTGGGAGAGCAATACAGCGGTGCATAGACAATCCAGGAAGTTTTTGGAAAGCGTAGGGGACAATTTCCTGGTGCAAGTGCTAGAGGAGCCAACTAGGGGGGGCGCTTTTCTTGACCTGCTGCTCACAAACCGGATACAATTAGTGGGGGAAGCAAAAGTGGATGGGAATCTGGGAGGCAGTGACCATGAGTTGGTTGAGTTCAGGATCCTGACGCAGGGAAGAAAGGTAAGCAGCAGGATACGGACCCTGGACTTCAGCAAAGCAGACTTCGACTCCCTCAGGGAACGGATGGCCAGGATCCCCTGGGGGACTAACTTCAAGGGGAAAGGAGTCGAGGAGAGCTGGCTGTATTTCAAGGAATCCCTCTTGAGGTTACACGGACAAACCATCCCAATGAGTCGAAAGAATAGTAAATATGGCAGGTGACCAGCTTGGCTTAATGGTGAAATCCTAGCGGATCTTAAACATAAAAAAGAAGCTTACAAGAAGTGTAAGGTTGGACATATGACCAGGGAAGAGTATAAAAATATTGCTCGGGCATGTAGGAATGATATCAGGAGGGCCAAATCGCACCTGGAGCTGCAGCTAGCGAGAGATGTCAAGAGTAACAAGAAGGGTTTCTTCAGGTATGTTGGCAACAAGAAGAAAGCCAAGGAAAGTGTGGCCCCCTTACTGAATGAGGGAGGCAACCTAGTGACAGAGGATGTGGAAAAAGCTAATGTACTCAATGCTTTTTTTGCCTCTGTCTTCACTAACAAGGTCAGCTCCCAGACTGCTGCGCTGGGCATCACAAAATGGGGAAGAGTGGCCAGCCCTCTGTGGAGATAGAGGTGGTTAGGGACTATTTAGAAAAGCTGGACGTGCACAAGTCCATGGGGCCGGACGAGTTGCATCCAAGAGTGCTGAAGGAATTGGCGGCTGTGATTGCAGAGCCATTGGCCATTATCTTCGAAAACTCGTGGCGAACCGGGAAGTCCCGGATGACTGGAAAAAGGCTAATGTAGTGCCAATCTTTAAAAAAGGGAAGAAGGAGGATCCTGGGAACTACAGGCCAGTCAGCCTCACCTCAGTCCCTGGAAAAATCATGGAGCAGGTCCTCAAAGAATCAATCCTGATGCACTTGCATGAGAGGAAAGTGATCAGGAAGAGCCAGCATGGATTCACCAAGGGAAGGTCATGCCTGACTAATCTAATCGCCTTTTATGATGAGATTACTGGTTCTGTGGATGAAGGGAAAGCAGTGGATGTATTGTTTCTTGACTTTAGCAAAGCTTTTGACACGGTCTCCCACAGTATTCTTGTCAGCAAGTTAAGGAAGTATGGGCTGGATGAATGCACTATAAGGTGGGTAGAAAGCTGGCTAGATTGTCGGGCTCAACGGGTAGTGATCAATGGCTCCATGTCTAGTTGGCAGCCGGTGTCAAGTGGAGTGCCCCAAGGGTCGGTCCTGGGGCCGGTTTTGTTCAATATCTTCATAAATGATCTGGAGGATGGTGTGGATTGCACTCTCAGCAAATTTGCGGATGACACTAAACTGGGAGGAGTGGTAGATATGCTGGAGGGGAGGGATAGGATACAGAAGGACCTAGACAAATTGGAGGATTGGGCCAAAAGAAATCTGATGAGGTTCAATAAGGATAAGTGCAGGGTCCTGCACTTAGGATGGAAGAATCCAATGCACCGCTACAGACTAGGGACCGAATGGCTAGGCAGCAGTTCTGCGGAAAAGGACCTAGGGGTGACAGTGGACGAGAAGCTGGATATGAGTCAGCAGTGTGCCCTTGTTGCCAAGAAGGCCAATGGCATTTTGGGATGTATAAGTAGGGGCATAGCGAGCAGATCGAGGTACGTGATCGTTCCCCTCTATTCAACATTGGTGAGGCCTCATCTGGAGTACTGTGTCCAGTTTTGGGCCCCACACTACAAGAAGGATGTGGATAAATTGGAGAGAGTCCAGCGAAGGGCAACAAAAATGATTAGGGGTCTAGAACACATGACTTATGAGGAGAGACTGAGGGAGCTGGGATTGTTTAGTCTGCAGAAGAGAAGAATGAGGGGGGATTTGATAGCTGCTTTCAACTACCTGAAAGGGGGTTCCAAAGAGGATGGCTCTAGACTGTTCTCAATGGTAGCAGATGACAGAATGAGGAGTAATGGTCTCAAGTTGCAGTGGGGGAGGTTTAGATTGGATATTAGGAAAAACTTTTTCACTAAGAGGGTGGTGAAACACTGGAATGCGTTACCTAGGGAGGTGGTAGAATCTCCTTCCTTAGAGGTTTTTAAGGTCAGGCTTGACAAAGCCCTGGCTGGGATGATTTAACTGGGAATTGGTCCTGCTTCGAGCAGGGGGTTGGACTAGATGACCATCAGGGGTCCCTTCCAACCCTGATATTCTATGATTCTATGATTCTATGATTCCCAGACCAGAAAATAACTGTTGGGGATGTTGAAATGCCTATATGTATCCTTGGGGACCCAGCCTACCCCTTAATGCCATGGCTCATGAAGCCGTACACAGGCAGCCTGGACAGTAGTCAGGAACTGTTCAACTACAGGCTGAGCAAGTGCAGAATGGTGGTAAAATGTGCATTTGGACATTTAAAAGTGCACTGGTGCAGTTTACTGACTCGGTTAGACCTCAGCGAAACCTATTTTCCCACTTTATTACTGCTTGCTGTGTGCTCCACAATATCTGTGACAGTAAGGGGGAGACGTTTATGGCGGGGTGGGAGGTTGAAGCAAATCGCCTGGCTGCTGGTTACGCGCAGCCAGACACCAGGGCGGTTAGAAGAGCACAGGAGGGCGCGGTATGCATCAGAGAAGCTTTGAAAACCAGTTTCATGACTGGCCAGGCTACGGTGTGAAAGTTCTCTTTGTTTCTCCTTGATGAAACCCCCCGCCCCTTGGTTCACTCTACTTCCCTGTAAGCTAACCACCCGCCCCTCCTCCCTTCGATCATTGCTTGCAGAGGCAATAAAGTCATTGTTGCTTCACATTCATGCATTCTTTATTCATTCATCACACAAACAGGGGGATGACTACCAAGGTAGCCCAGGAGGGGTGGTGGAGGAGGGAAGGAAAATGCCACACAGCACTTTAAAAGTTTACAACTTTAAAATTTATTGAATGCCAGCCTTCTTTTTTGGGGGCAATCCTCTGTGGCGGAGTGGCTGGTTGGCCGGTGGCCCCCCCACCGCGTTCTTGGGCGTCTGGGTGTGGAGGCTATGGAACTTGGGGAGGAGGGCGGTTGGTTACACAGGGGCTGTAGTAGCAGTCTGTGCTTCAGCTGCCTTTGCTGCAGCTCAACCATACACTGGAGCATACTGGTTTGGTCCTCCAGCAGCCTCAGCATTGAATCCTGCCTCCTCTCATCACGCTGCCGCCACATTTGAGCTTCAGCCCTCTCTTCAACCTGCCACTTACTCTCTTCAGCCCCCCACCTCTCCTCCCGGTCATTTTGTGCTTTCCTGCACTCTGACATCATTTGCCTCCACGCATTCGTCTGTGCTCTGTCAGTGTGGGAGGACAGAATGAGCTCAGAGAACATTTCATCACGAGTGTGTTTTTTTTGCCTTCTAATCTTCACTAGCCTCTGGGAAGGAGAAGATCCTGTGATCCTTGAAACACATGCAGCTAGTGGAGGAAAAAAAAGGGACAGCGGTATTTAAAAAGACACATTTTATAAAACAGTGGCTACACTCTTTCAGGGTAAACCTTGCTGTTAACATTACATACATAGCACATGTGCTTTCGTTACAAGGTCGCATTTTGCCTCCCCCCACTGCGTGGCTACCCCCTCAACCCTCCCCCCTCCCCGTGGCTAACAGTGGGGAACATTTCTGTTCAGCCACAGGCAAACAGCCCAGCAGGAACGGGCTCCTCTGAGTGTCCCCTGAAGAAAAGCACCCTATTTCAACCAGGTGACCATGAATGATATCTCACTCTCCTGAGGATAACACAGAGAGATAAAGAACGGATGTTGTTTGAACACCAGCAAACATACACTGCAATGCTTTGTTGTACAATGATTCCCGAGTACGTGTTATTGGCCTGGAGTGGTAAAGTGTCCTACCACGAAGGACGCAATAAGGCTGCCCTCCCCAGAAACCTTTTGCAAAGGCTTTGGGAGTACATCCAGGAGAGCCGCAAATGCCAGGGCAAAGTAATCCTTTCACATGCTTGCTTTTAAACCATGTATAGTATTTTAAAAGGTACACTCACCGGAGGTCCCTTCTCCGCCTGCCGGGTCCAGGAGGCAGCCTTGGGTGGGTTCGGGGGGTACTGGCTCCAGGTCCAGGTTGAGAAACAGTTCCTGGCTGTCGGGAAAAGCAGTTTCTCCACTTGCTTGCTGTGAGCTATCTACAACCTCATCATCATCATCATCTTCTTCGTCCCCAAAACCTGCTTCCGTGTTGCCTCCATCTCCATTGAAGGAGTCAAACAACACAGCTGGGGTAGTGGTGGCTGAACCCCCTAAAATGGCATGCAGCTCATCATAGAAGCGGCATGTTTGGGGCTCTGACCCGGAGCGGCCATTCGCCTCTCTGGTTTTTTGGTAGGCTTGCCTCAGCTCCTTAAGTTTCACACGGCACTGCTTCGGGTCCCTGTTATGGCCTCTGTCCTTCATGCCCTGGGAGATTTTGACAAAGGTTTTGGCATTTCGAAAACTGGAACGGAGTTCTGATAGCATGGATTCCTCTCCCCATACAGCGATCAGATCCCGTACCTCCCGTTCAGTCCAGTTTTGCGATTCTGGGACTCCATCATGGTCTCCTCTGCTGATGAGCTCTGCATGGTACCTGCAGCTTCCCACACTGGCCAAACAGGAAATGAGATTCAAAAGTTCGCAGTTATTTTCCTGTCTACCTGGCCAGTGCATCTGAGTTGAGAGTGCTGTCCAGAGCAGTCACAATGGAGCACTCTGGGATAGCTCCCGGAGGCCAATACCGTCGAATTGTGTCCACAGTACCCCAAATTCGACCTGGCAAGGCCGATTTCAGCGCTAATCCACTTGTCAGGGATGGAGTATGGAAATCGATTTTAAGAGCCCTTTAAGTCAAAATAAAGGTCTTCATCGTGTGGATGGGTGCAGGTTTACATCGATTTAACGCTGCTAAATTAGACCTAAAGTCCTAGTGTAGACCAGGGCCTAGAGACAGGAGGCCTCCTCAATGCCTGGATCTTTATCTAGGGCGAACCCACAGTTACTGGGCAAAATAATCCCCAGGGTTTAGCCGGGAACGGAGGCAGTGTACCTTCCTTCTCTAGTTTAGTGTTTGTTTTATTTAGGGAATGTTCTCGTTAAGGGTTGAGGAATATGTTATGTATATGGTTGTTGTGGTAATAAAATCTTGTTGTTGCTATGCCAACTGAGTTAGATTATTAGGGGATAGCCCAGCCAGTTTTGGCTGATTTAGTCAGTTCAGTGTGTGGTAATAAATGGCTGCTTTTAAAGTTTACAGCTCTCTGTGTTCCAGGTGATTTCTTCTTAAAAATGCTGCCCCCAAGGATATAACATAGAGGATGGTGACACAGTTGGAGCTTACATTATGTTGTTAGGAGAACTTGTGATCAGTCAATAGTGTCTAAAACCTGCAAAATGGCTTCCACCCTGTTGCATATATATAAAGATACATAGAGATAATATATGTAAGCATTTCACTTGTTTTAGAGCCTGAGGACAATCTAAATGGCAGATAACCGACATTACTGTAGCAGTATGTTCCTGTAAATTGGACTGGAACAGGACATGTGGGCAGTGACAAATTCAAAGGTATATTATCAGCAATGACCTCCTTAAATGACTAGTTTATATAAACAGGGAAGGATGACTGATCAGTTAGGTGAGTGGAGATCAGTACCATCTGCCTGGTTCATCCAGAACTTGCCCTCGACCACAGAGAACTTTTTATTCTACAAAGCATCCTTTGAACATACGGGCAAATAATTTCCAGTGATTCTGTGTTTCCTTCTTCAGGTGATATCTTACCAGATTATTTTGCTCTTACAACTAAGTGATAGCCTTTAAATCTTGGTAGCATGGTAAAATGGTCACTAGTGGTTGCACTTATAGTTTTTGTATGTGGTAAAATTCTGTAGAAAGTTACTGTCGACAAATTAGCTTGATTAGAGAAGGTGGGAGAGGTAGTATCTTTTATTGGACCAACTTCTGTGAGTGAAAGAGACAAGCTTTCTTATGGGAATTATGGGATACAAAAAAGAAAACCGATATATGGTCGAAGCTGGAAAGACTAAAGTCAGTTTGGGGCCAAACCCTAAGTGGTGCTGACCATGTTGTAAACTTTGACCATTTGCGAAAGAAGTAAACAGGGAAGCAACAGAACAGAAACCAGAAAAATAAGGCAAGAGTTGGCAGAGCTACTGATATGGGCAGAAGCTGAGGAAAGGAGGCTGACTAGGAGAAGGGTTATTTATTTATGCATTAAAAGCAAGCTCCTGCATCCCTCTTTCTGAAGCCAGAATGTTAGTAAATATGTTCATGCATTTTTGTTGGCACAGATGTTCATGCATTTTCACATATAAACAACCCAGTCAAGGAACATCTTCAGGGTAAGTGTCTTAGTAGTAACCACCTGCTTGTTTAGTTCTTTAAAATGAAACCAATCTAATCAATAGTCCTGCAGAGGAAGGGTTTTTCATGTGGGTACACCACACAGTGAATATATTTATACTGAATTCTTCGTTCCTCCAGCTATGCAATATTATACAACAGGGCTCATTCTGAGGGGAAGAATCTGTATGTTGTAACTGATAGGCCCCTGGAGGTTGCCACCTGATTTCTTCAGGATGTACTGGGATTCCAGTTCTTAGCATACATCAAAGAGAATACTTAAAGTGACAGTGAATTTGTGTTAGTGCATTCAATAAGAAAAATCCTGAGATGAAGAAAGAGAGAAATAGAGAGAGAGAAAGAATCTATCATTTAAGGCACTGGATATAAATCCATATAATAAATCAGAATTTTAAAGCGACAATGTTAAGATTAAGAGACACTTTAGGAAGAGGCCAGCAAGCTTAAAGTGAAACCCTGTCTATATTTAATTGCTGATTCCTGCTCTTCCACCTGCCACCCCACTCTGGTCCCCTGCTGCTATAGAAACAAATCAAGGTTCTGTTTTCTCAAATTTATGGTTGTGATGTTCCACTCTGGTGTTAACTGGACCGGTGATCTGCTAGGCCACTCCAATCCTTGACTCTGGGAGGCAGCCTTACCCTGCTCTGCTGTGAGAACCCCCACTCCTGGGCTGTTCACGCACAGCCTCTGGCATGCTGCCACGCAACCAAATGACACTAGCCAATATCTCCGGTCCCAGACACAACCCTGGGAACCTCCGTCTTGCAGTGTCCAGTTATGCCCGCTGGATGCTGCAAGCTTATATAAGTTCGTCAATTTAACAAAGAAATTGATATGTACCAGGCTTATTCTCCCAAGGGGAGTCTCTGACACACTGCAAACCAAAGGCACTGCTTCAGGTAGAATAAACAAACAGAATTATTTACTATAAAGGTAGATTTAAGTGATTATAAGACAAAGCATAACAAGTCAGATTGGTCAAATGAAATAAAATAAAATAATATAAAATTATTTTATATTATTATTTGTATGAAATGGTTTAACCTGATTCCCCTCTCTTCTCCTAAACTTAACTGACATTTAGGGCCTCAAGTTTCTGAATCGCCTACCAGTGTTAACAGATTGAAGTAAGAAGTTCCATGCTTTCTGTGGCAAGTTCCCCCCAGGTTGCCACCGGGAACTGGGGTCCCACTGAGCCACTCCTGACCCACCCGCCGTGGCTCTCTCTTACACTGTACTGCTGTGACAAGCTGCCACACCCTCCAGGCTTCAGCCTGCACTTTTATCAGCATGCATACAGGTAGGGATACACCCAGCTGCAGTTACATGCAGGCAGGCTCTTTGCAGCTAGGGCACCTCCCAGCTCCTCAGGCACACACACCCTCTGGAGTACAAACCCAAAATTATGCCGTCTTGCACTGCACAGGAAACTGTACAGAGTTAAGCTCATAAAATTTGCCCTCTCCCTCAATATGGAGAGGAATATGCAACAGCTTTCTGCCCCTGAGTTATGATTTCCATGCACTGGTTTAGATAAAGAAAAAAAATTAACTACAAAAGATAGATTTTAAGTGACTATACGGGATAGCAAACAGATCAAAGCAGATTAGCTTGCAAATAAAGAAAACTGAGCTTAACATACTAAATAGATTGGATATGAATAGCCGATTCTCACCCTAAGTGATGATACAAGCAGGCTGCAGATTCTTTAGGGGCAAGCTGTACTTGCTTATAGTTTGGAATCCCCAGGTGTTTCATTCACAGGCTAAATATCCCTTTAGCCTGGGTCCAACATTTTCCCCAGTTCAGTCTTTGCTCCTCGGGTGTTTCCAGGAGTCTTCTTGGGTGGGGAGTCAGTGAAGAACCTAGATGATGTCACTCCCCTGCCTTATATAGATTTTGCATATGGTGGGATCCCTTTGTTTATTTCAAAGCTTGGTTCCCACGCCAGTCAGTGGAAAAATACTGACATCCCAAGATGGAGTCCAGCACCAGGTGACCTGGTCAAGTGTCTCTGTAGAGTCCCAGGAGTCATCCCCCATGGGCTGTTTGGAGCGTTCACAGGAAAGCTCACCAGATGGGAGCTAAGCTTTTCCCGTTGTGATGCAGGGGGTTGGACTAGATGAGCAGGGGGTTGGACTAGATGGGCAGGGGGTTGGACTAGATGACCTTCTGGGGTCCCTTCCAACCCTTATATTCTATGATTCTATGATGCTGAGGCATGAGGCGTACTGGCTATTTATTCAGTTCATGCTTTGGGTACAATCTTTTTCTTTCATCACAAGTCAGTGGGTGGGATTCTCCTAAAAAGATACTTTTTTTTTCTCCTCAAGAGACTGAAGGGGAAGTGAGATCTTCCCTCCATGACAGGAAAGAGGAGTAGGAAGATGAGGGGTGAAGGGGAGAGTACAGGCACAGTGTTATAATGACAGGGATTCATGGTAGCACCAGAGAGTGCTCTTTGAACTGCTCCATGATTAGAATTACATCAAACTATTTACCTTTATCAGCTTCCTTAATCCTATCCATAATGTTGACTGGTCATTCACATGTCTACTCTGTTCCACTGAGAATAAGCCTATCTCCATGAACCTCTCTCAGCAATTTGGGCTGCTCATTTCTAGCACTAACTTTGTTGCTCAGGGCTGTTCAAGGAAATATAAATCTTCTTTGAACAAGATCTTCTGAGGAATGGACTGCACATGGGACTCAAGATAAGGGACTCAAAAGGATCTTATATAGAATCATTTAAAAAAAACAACGATATCTCTACTAATACAAATTAGTACATTATCTAAATTTTTTAAAGCATAACTGTTTCAGTGATTTTTCTACAATGTCAGATTTTTACCCTGATCAGTGATTGTTCCATTTAGCACATATTCCCTAGATTAATTCATTTCTCCCATTCTAATTAACTTACATTTGTGTACAGTGAACCACATTTCTTACCTACTGGTCCAATCATATAAATAATACTTTTGTGATTGCATTGCTTGTCATTGTTTACTCTCCCTCGAGTTGTAGAACCATATGCAAATCTGGAAATCTCTCTTTCACAATGTTCGTGTCCAACTCATTTCTATACTACTGTACAGACTGGATGATGTTAAAAAATTGGGCATTCACTGCCCACAATCATTAAACATCCTGTAGTGTTTCCCATATAGTGAAACCGACACATATAGTGAGTACAGTGAAAACCACAAATACCACAAACAGTAAATACTGAGCTGAGACAATGTGCATTTTTTTCAAAACAATGCAGCAATATGTGCCTGTGCACATACACTCCCATGCTTCCATATTTCATGTACACAACATGTATACACACTATGTATTAGTATAGCATTGCAAGGGACCTTTTACAATGTCCTAAAACAGTTTTCTTGTGCATAAGGATGGCAAGTTTAAAAAAAAAAAAAAAAGAACAAGGAGTACTTGTGGCACCTTAGAGACTAACAAATTTATTTGAGTGTAAGCTTTCGTGGGCTAAAACCCACTTTCCAGGGGCTAGGGGTGAGTGCTGGGCCCATTAGGAAGTTGGGAATCTGTCCTTTCCAAGGTTATAGGGTCTGTTTTCTGAGTGCTCAGGAATGCTAAAATATCAGGCCTGTAAAATATCAGAATCACTTCTCCCATTTTTTGGCCCTGTGGGACTGTAAGTTTTTGGATTTTTAAGTCATGACACTTTTATGCATATACCAGCTATTGCTAACCCAAGACTGAATCCTAGCCATTTGGGCTTTGAGCATGAGTAATTCTGGGAGGAGGAATTCCATATTTGGAAGGAGATGGAGGAAACATTTCTGTAGCAGTTTCTTCACACACACACACACACACACCCGCCTCCCAAAAGATGGGTATTTGAAGCTGCTCTGAGTTTTGGGATGTTAAATATTCATAGAGAGATGAGTTAGGCTCTGATTCTGCACCTTTAAATCCAGGGGTAGTTTTGCCACTGACTTCAATGAGTGTAGGATCAAGGCCTTAGAACCTAATCCAAACATACCTTAGTCAATGGAAATCTTTCCACTGATGTCAGTGGACTTTGAATCAGGCCCTTCGTGAGTAGTGAACCAGTAAGGTGGTCAAATGAGCATGATAAATTCATTTATCATGGGACCCTGCAATTTGTCATGGATATCTTCTTCATGTACATGGTATGGCGTGTTTGTTGGGGGATGTACATACACAGAAACATATAGGCCTGAGTCACATCTGACCCCAGTTTTTCTCTGGTATATCTCCATTCATCTGAATGGAGTTCATCTTAATTTACACCAGTGTAACTTAAAACAGAATCAAGTGCATATATATTTTATATACACAAACTCTTACACACATTAATTTATCTGTAGAAACACTGTTTGGATCAGAGTGTGCACATATACTAGAGAGAAAAATCTACCATTTTATTCATACTCAAAAAACTGCTTTCTAGCAGGCATACTATTTTTCCTCTTATTTGACTGTTTACCTCAGTCATTAGTCTCTGATGTGAACCTTGTCAAAACTTATTGAAAATCTAAGTATTATATTGAGTTTCCCTTATCTATCTATCACAACCATAAAAAGCAATTGCTTTATTTTTAGGATATTTATGTCATGCTAATATACCTTTATTTAAAACATGAGGTGCAAAAATTCCCACCTCTGTATAAATCTCGTGCTGCAGTGGAGGTGTAATTTTATTATAATTCACCTTGGAATTTAAAATACTGGGCTTGGGACTGCTAAGCATCTGGTGGAGATAGACATTACATAGTATTTGAAATGTCTCCTGTATTAACAATGGTTATTTGGGAGATACAATGATTACTTGAAATAAATTGTTTCTAGTCTAATGCCAAGGCTGTGATTCACATGATCAAGTAGCAATTTTCTAAATCAGAATTGGTTATGAGCTTGATTTTGTTATGAGGTTTATTTCTTCCGAAAGTAAACAGAATGATATGTAGGGAAAACACATACTAAGTTTCCCTAATCAGACTTGTGGTGTTCTCTCCTGCTTCCAGAATGAAAGATTTTAAACGAAAGCTGCACTTATATTCCTATTCTGAAATGTCATATGTCAAGTACCATTCCCCAGCATGCTTGTATAACCTAGTTCACATATTTGATATTAAGGATTAAGCAGCAGTTCTGAATTTCCTTGACCACCATCATGATGAAAATTGGCCTCCTAACTCATCCTACAAATGCGTATAACGCTTAGCCATTCGAGAGGGTTCAGGTGTGCTTTGTAATACTGGAGCTCAAATCAGACATAAGAACCAGCTTCCAATGCATTTT